GACAGCTTATACTACGAATAATTACTTAAAAATCTGTCACCAATTCAAGCAGCTGAGTGTTATAGGTTCCGAGAATTCAAAGAAGGCCTGTAATTAAGTTCTGATATGCTCAAATAAATCCCAAAACCTCTCTTTATGCGACGCAATTTTGGCAGTCATCCAAAGGGTTCCTCGGTTTCTTGGTCTCTGCCAGATATGCAAAATTTTCATAAATGCCACAGACTGCAGGGCTTTTGTGGGTGAGGCCCAGAACATGATTTACGATTACTAAACTACTTAATGTTAATCAATTGTGCAACAGAATCATGACGATGATGGACACATTTCGTTGCCCAGATAATTGCAGCAGACACTTTGTGCAATCATTGCAAATGTTGCATGGTGACAATGCTGAACGCAAATCCAAATCAATTCAAAGTGAGGGAAATGAAGGAAAATCAACGGTAAGAAGGCTGAGAAGGGGGCGGAATGGTAGTTGAATTTCGCATATTTTTGGTTGGCTGCAAAAACCGCAAATTGCTATTAACGAAAATCTAATCATAACCGGAAATTAATTTGACAGGAATCTCATTAAATTTACAGCCATACCAAAAGGACATATGGCAGCAGCTGCTGACGGGTCTGGGAATCCGATCCCATTCCACATTTTCAACCCATTTTCAGCCCATTTTCAAACCCACTTTCAAACCCACTTTGAAATCCTAATTCGCCATCCGCAAATCCCCTTTTGGCAAATCGTTTAAAGCTGCATTGCGTTGACATTGCAACTGCCAGCTGAGTATTTGAGTAATGTACGGGATTTCATTATAATATACAATTATTCCAGTGCTTTCTTATGTTTACACGAGGGCTAAGATCGTGAATTTTGTAAAAGAACATAAAAAGGATGGAGTATAATTTAAAAGATAATAATGAAAACTTAAAGGCATTGCACTTTTATAATATTATATAACTTTTTTTAACCGAATTATATTATAAAACCATATATTTTTGTAAAACTTTATTCCGATATAGCCACCCTATAAACTGATAATTATAACTGCCAACTAATTACTGATTACACCATTCCGCATAACCATCTTTGTGCGATTGTTCCATGTTAATTCGCCCAGTTTGTGCTGACTATGAGGAACTGCCTCCTCTGGCTTCTCTGTCGACTGGCTTCTGTAATTTATTTCTGATTTTGGGTTTGCGCCATGCGTGGCTGAGCATTAGAGCCGCTTGCACATTTTGCCAGCACATAAATTAACATAAAGAGGCGGCAAACTGAGAGGTGAGAAGGAGGCGTGGCTGTGTGGGCTAGGTGACGTCAGTGAAGAGAGGGAGTGGAGAAGGGTTATAAGCCTCTAGGGAGGCCTTGCAGCGATTACGTGACATTGAACCAGAGCCAAAGTGGCTGATTCTGATGTTCTGTTGCAGTAGTTCTCAATCACAGACGACGAGAGTTTGAGTCACCGTCTAATTGAACAGGGACGGCGGCAAGAAGGGAGGCCCGCTTAATCCCTTCGTGACATCTGACAATTGCAATTCAGCTGGCGAGTTCAGAGTCTGGAAAGTCCGCTGATCTATTGTCTCACGGGGGTATTGTTGGCTTTTCATTGTTGATTAGGCAAATACTATACAAAAATGCTTAGTTGATGTTTTTTTTTAGTTTATTTTTAGTGTATTTTTACAGCTGGCGATGAATCATGGATCATTAAGTTAGGTCTCATTCCTGGCATTTACTGTTTTCACAATATTTTAACTATATTTATTTGACTTATAAAATACATAGGAATTCGAATTGTTAACTAAGCAAAGCTTCGAATAAGTTACTTAGTTATTAAAATTAAAATTATTCTAAGACCATACTCAATACAGCAAATATTCCCCCATTCAGCCAAAGCTTTTTGCTCATCTAGCTAACAATTACTAAAAGCCAAAATAGAAAGCACACATTCTAAACACCAATTCTCATGTCTACTATATTTCCCTCCACTTTTAGAACGCAGTAACGTTACAACGACAGAGTTTTTGTGTAGATTCATATAGGTTTCCATTGAAAGTGATTAATCATTCGACTGCAGGCGAAACAGATGTTGCAATACCAAATTAACAAGCTGCAACTTAAAACACTAGTTACACTGTCATGTAAAATGATTTCATGTAATGAAATCCACAAAGGCTTAACATTTGAATGGATTAGAATGGCTTAAAATAGTATAAACTAAAAATTATCTTCTATCTTTGAAACTCCAAACAAAGACAGCTTGCCAGAATTCAATTGAATTTCCCAAACTTAATTGTTCATTTGACCAAAAAACAGTGGAAAAATCTAAATAAATTACAATGAAAACCGAAATGTTTGCAAAGCTGATAAATTAATTTTATATAAATTAGTGTGACAAGACAGGAAAACACAAAAACTCCTTGGAATAATAAACCAATTAAAGTTTGCAGTTCAAATTCCAAAAAACAATTTCATTTCATTTGAATGTGGCTCCAGCTCGTTGGCCTTGTTGTTTTTATTCATTTTACAATTCATTCGAACAAAGCTCAATTTATTTGGATTCGTTTTCGTTTCCCTTAAGTCACCGCAAAAGTCCAAGATTCCAAAGCAACATGATGGAGTCAAGTTAAGTCAGTTTAAATTAAAAGACCAGATTTTACGCATTTTATTTAGTTAGCAGAAGTGTTTTCTATTTAAACAATTTATTCATTTAATTGACTTTGGTTTCGAAGCCTTAATCTAATAAGCCTTTGATGACATGGGTATTAGATAAGAAAATATCAGAGTTCCCTGGGAATTGTGATTAGAGTTTAGTTTATTTTAATTGAATTTCGATTTTCAATTATATTGTCAGCATAAAATAAAACAAAGCAATGAAAATCTTTTTTAATTTATAAAAAATAACTAAAAATATTATCGCTTGATTAGGTCCTTGAATTAAACCTCAATTAATTGCCGCTTTTAGTGTTTTGTCAACAATTTTCCATAATCAGCTTAGTTGCCCCGCCATAAATGAACTCTAAAATATTTCCACTTCATAACAATTGCCACTGATTTAGGCCAGACCGACACAAAATGCTAATTACCTGACCATTCATCATACAATTTAACCAAAATATTTGTAAAGGTCCGAAAATTAACTTCAATTTGCATAAATAAATATCTCTCTAAATTAAACAAATTGCCCGGCCATTCATTCACCAACAATGAAAAATAAAAATAATAATTTACCAATAATTTTCATAATTGTTTTGAGTTTTATTACTCCACGCATAGTTCCACATACGAGGAGCAGCAGCAGCAGTAATAAAAAAATGCAAAAAGTGATTTATGTGAACATGCAATTGCAATTTGTTCTGTGGCCGAGAAAGACATTCCCTGGAAAAAGGCCTTAAAAGCGAATTATGGCCATAATTAACCCAATTCGCTTGGCCATGGGACACTGGCATGGTACGCCGCCGTTCCCATAAAAACAAAATTAAGAAATATAAGAAAAGAAAACAAGCTGAGAAAAATGCTTAAGAATTTCACTTGCAATCAGGCCGAGAAACGAAATGGGCCAAAAATGACAGAACTTGAGTGTATAATATTCACATGTGAGTTCGTTCAACCGATTTTTGGTTTGTGAAAGCTGAATATCACAATAATGGGAATATATGAGAACTATCAAGAAATCTATAGATATCTATCATAGGAAGATTATGTAAAACATCTCTCAGATGTAAATAAAAATCATCAATCCAGTTTTTCCACTTTTATAGTACTTTAGTTTGTTATGGTAATTCTTTTAATTGTACTTAAGTTTCTTCCAAGCTCATTCTAAATGAGAACAATAGAATATTTAATCAAATTAAAATTTAAAATTCAATTATTTATAACTCACTTTAAGATTTTATTTTAACTTATAATTCCTACACTCAAAACTATCGCACAAGCTATAAAATTCAATTTAGTTTATAAACATTGAATCAGCATTAAATCAAGACCTGTCGGCAAGTTTTCCCATCAATTTACCAAATAGTTCACAATAATTTGGGGCACTCATTGCAAAGATGAATCTTGAGCCGAAAAATGGAGATTCAACAACGAGTGTTGCATAAAATTTTCATATTCCTTGCAAATGATTTGGACTGCACCGAATTTGACAACTTCAAGAGGCTGTGGCAGCTGCCAACCCGCTGCCACGCCCGCTCTTTCCTCCAACCGCCCATCATCTGCAATTCACTGGCAGCTTCTTCAGCAGCAATTTATGCATTCAAGTGGCAGCCAAAGGCAGCGAACAGCAAACGCTGATGATGACAATAAGGACGCTGAATCCCTGATGCTGCGCCGAGTATTCCTGATATTTTGCCATTTGTAGTTACTTGTGTATCTGTAAGATGCATTTGGCTGATTGTCAAGTGCCTCGCTTTGTTATCACGAAGCTGCCATCATTATCCCGCAAAGAGAATCGACTTTAAACTTCAAGCTGCTATTTTTTATAACTAAATGCCTTTGTTTAATCAATAGAGATTAAATATATTGATCAAAGACTTGTTTTTATTTAAAAGTTTAAAAAAATATTTCCTGTTTATATTTAATTTAAACACGTAAACATCAACCTATTTGCTTGAGCTGCGTTTGATTAAAAACATAGTAAATAATGTCATTAAAAGCTTAACTTAACTTTGGAATTGCTTCGAAATCTTTCAGAATTCACCAGAATTTTCCAGATTATCAATGCATAAGAGAAATACAAAAGTGTTCTCTTGGAATTCCCTTTTCTTATCAATTTTCTTTGTTACTAATGTCAAAAGGTTGTCGCTGCTATACAATATATATTATGTACTATATGTAAATTGTATGCGGAAGAATAAATCTGATTCAATACTTCGAAAAGATTTAAATCCATTATCTAAATGTATTATATCACAAGTGGTTGACTTTTTAAAACCTATTTTTTACTATAAACTGCTAGTTTCATTGCAAATTTGTAGACCTAAACGGCTTATTATAAGGGCTTTTTACTCACCTGGCAATGAAAAGACTCCACTAAGGGCCAAAGTGGTCATCAGCACTCCGAATAACAGCTTCATTTTTATTTAATTTTTTTTTTTGTTTCTCACAATGTCTGGGTACTTTTGTAGATTTTAGTATTTGTTGATTTAGGGGTTCAAAGTTTTTGAAAAGTTGTTGTGAACCAGCAACTAGATTCGATTCTGTTCTGTGTGGAAAGACAAACAATCGTCAAATGCGCTTAAATGATTTGAGGAAGCGGCAAATAAACGGAAAGCAAGCGAGTGAGTGAGAAACCGAGTGAGTGACTAAATGACCGCTCTCTCACTCTCCCTCTCACTCAATTAGTCGCTGGTTTTATAAATATTCTAAATGGACAGAACAAAGTGTTGTGGGAAGACCGTTTCACCATGCCGGTCAGCTGGGTTCAATATTCTGGGACACTAGTGTACTGTCTGCAGCGTATGAGTAATATTGGTTTTTTCGTATGCAAAATGTTTAAATATTTTGAAAAGTTATTTTAATAGGTATTTTTAGATTATGTAGTTTACTACATTTTTAAACATTTTTTTAGGTATTTAATTTACTTTTTTTTTAAGGGGATTTACCCGCCACTATGCCCACCTCAACCTGCCGTAAATTTAGTTGAGCTTTCAATTTACTTAATCAGTTTTTGTCTATGCTTCGTTAACTGCACGCGGGCTTCTCTATTCCTCTATATTTTCATTTACTTTACTTATTTTATTTAACTTCGGCCCTGTCACAGTTGCTGAATGTTTTTCTATTCTACGTTTTATTCACAGTTCGTATTTCGATTCCACATTGATTGCATTGAGTGGAATTATGTCAATTTGACGACTGCTGAAATCACCTGTTGAACGAGCTTGGCTTAGAGTTCAAGGTTGTACTGTAGCTTATGTAAAACAAAAAGCTTATATGCCTGTTTCCCTCTAGAGAAACCATAGAGAATGGTTCTCTTCCAAAGAAATGAAAACGGAGATTAAACGATGGGGCGATTCTGTGTAATTAAATTGTTATGATAAAGTGCTTCTTGTTAATTCTCCAGATAATGCAGTCACGCCTTGATTGAGCCGAGTCCAATCACGACTTGGCTAAATGAAATGGCCAAGATAGAAGATTTATAAGTAATCAATATGGGAAGTTCGATTATGAATGATCTTTTTTGACATTTATTACATGAAAGATCTTACTACAGGATATCTGAATAATATATTCAACTATTATGCAAAATTTACAATTGAATTTTATTTAAATTTTTATAGGGTTAGGAAAAATTTTTCTAAAATTATTTACTTAAAAATAAATCTTTCAAGGTCTGAATATTCAAGAACTATAACTTTTTATAGCAATTTTGAATGCCTGATTATATTGAAAATCATTTCTTTATACGGGACGCAGCATAAAAGTTAGCACAAGTAAATATTTCGCAAACAAATGGGTGAACAAAATTAGGGTGGCAAATTGTTGAGCAGACAGCCTAAATAAGCTTGAAATTGTTTGTTTGTAAACATTTTTGTCAGCGTCGAAGCGGAAATCGTTCACGCATAGTATTCCACACAGCACACACATATTAACACACCGACACACGCGAATTTGCATAAACTTATTGTATTGTTACCGGTGTCATACAGTTATTTCTGTAGATCGTTTGAATCATTCGATTCGAAAGATCGGTGAGGAACGCGCGATCTTCGACGTGCGTTGGCTTTAATGAAATATTTCGGACTAAATGGTTGCGTACGATTTTGGCTTCATTTATACCAGCGCACGTTGCTCCCCCACAAGCAAACAAAAAGAGAGATTGAGAAGAGAGACTGCGACATGGGGAGGCAGTGGAGAACGGTGGAGATCTTTAAAGGGTCTTTAAAATGATCGAATTTTGTAAAAAAAACCTGGCATATCCCCGGCAGCATGTTTAATATTAAAATCTTGAAAATAATAATTCAAATGAATGCAAAAATCTTACCTCAACAATACAGTTCTTAAATTGTTAAGCCAAGAAGATTAGGAAACGGAAAATCCCTTGTAAACCCATCTTCCATAACCAAACGTCTTTTATGACTTTCAAAAGTAACAGAAATTTCACAAAAAATAGCATTCATCGACACGTCATTGGCGGCAGAAGTGAATGCAATCCGGACTGTGGGCCAGCGTCCAGGGCAGTTCCTTGACCAAAACAGTTCGAGGTGTTCGAAAATCAGAAATTCAAAGCAGATAGCCGACAGCGCTGGAGAAAAGAGACGGTTGCAGAGGAAGAGAAAGAGGTGGAGATATTGACAGCGACAAGGAACGCGCGCCAAGCGACGTTCTTGGATTGACAATGAACGCCACCTGCCCCCTTTTACCTGAACCTCTTAACCTCCCGCTACAGAACCCGGTTTCCTTTATGGTTCTTGCCCAGATCGAAATCTTCGATCGCTTGAGCTACAGCTGTTGGAAACTTCTGTAGACCGCTCTTCGTTTTTCTACAACTTGTAATTCTTCTCGTCGCCCCGCGAACCGGATTCTGAATTAACTGCACTTTCGTTGGTTTTATTCGAACTGCTATTTTTGTTTAACTACATACAGGTTTGATTGCACTATGCCTTTAAGTGGCAGAGGAGCATTTAAAATTAATTGCCATTTTCGGTTAATTGTTGACACAACATTCTTGCGGTCGAGTCAATAAATTCCCCAAAAACAAGATTTGCCTGTCAAGGCTTTAAAGAGAGAAGAAATTGAGTCAGTCTCATCTTATTTAAAAACTTAAGGTATAAAAGAGGCGTTAACATGTATTTTTCATTCTATATAATGTTTGTATTTTCCTTATATTTTATATTCTTTAGCATGTGCAGCCTCTACGTTACTCATATATATTTCCAATTTAAATTTAGACATGTCACCACAGGCGGCAACCCACAAATTTTGAGAAGACATGGTGATCTTGACCTTGACACTTTTGGAAGAAATATATTTCTACAAATTAAGAACCATTATTCAGGGTTTTATTTAAGGTTTGACTATTTTTAGATTTTTTGACATTTCTTTAAATTTCTTTAACAAGAATTTCATGGCTCCATCTATGAATTTTTAACAGCAACCGATAATAGCGCCATCTACTGCCAAGCAGCTGTGTTAATTTTACAGAGCTGTTAACTATGTTAAACAGAGTTGCCAGCTGGTTATTAAACGTTGTCTTGGTAACGGTTTTCACTTGATTTTATTGTCAAAGGAAAATATAAATAAATAGAAAAAAGAAAACAAAATAATCATGTTTCGCCGTGGAAAACTATCTTTCCTGAACACCAAGGATGATCGCATTAAAATAATCAACGAACGTATCAACATAACAGAACGACATTTGATGGAGATGTGTTCTTCATTTGCTTTGGTAACAAGGAAAATGGCGAAGTGAGTTAGATATTATTTATGATCCCTTGCCTTCTAACTTCGAGTCTTTACAGATATCGCGATTCCTTTGATGACTTGGCCAAAAATGTAAAGAGTTATGCAGATGATGAGGAAATCAACGAGAGTCTCTGCCAGGGACTAAAGAGCTTCACCAATGCGGTTACCATTATGGGGGACTACATGGACATCAATGTTCACCGGTTGGAACATAAGGTAGGATACAAAGTTATTTCAAAGTATTTTCTAATTCATTACTCTTAGATTGTCAATGAATTGGCGCAATTCGAGCAGCTCTGCAAGTCCACCCGGGACAATCTCCGCCTGGCTGTTATAGCCCGGGATAAGGAGGTTCTGCGTCAAAGGCAGATGCTGGAGCTAAAGTCAAAATTTTCAGCCAACAATGTATGTAGAAAATCAAATCAATTCAAATTCGTACTTCTAAAATAATCTTTGATTGACCATTCCAGAGTGCCGCTGATTCAGAGCTTTTTAAGGCCAAAATGGAGGTGCAGCGCACCAACAAAGAGATTGACGACATCATCGGGAATTTCGAGCAACGGAAGTTACGTGATATAAAACAGATTATCACCGATTTCATCCTGATCTCCATGAAGCAGCACACCAAGGCTTTGGAGGTCCTCAGCGCAAGTTACTATGATATAGGAAACATAGATGAACGCGACGATTTTCTAGAGTTCCAGAAGCTTATGAAAACGAAAGAAGAACCCACTCCCCGCAAGGCTGCATTAAAGAAGGGTCTCCGATCACAATCCATGGATAGTTTGGATCACGAGCACTTGGTGAGTCCACTGCAGAGACGCCAAAAGCTATCCAGGAGCAGCAAAAATTTGGCAGGAGCTGGAATTAGCCATGGTAGTAAAACAGAACCCGAAGAGGAAACTGACGAGCAAGATGAGGATGATGATGATGATGAGGTAAGCTATGGGCAAACACTTTCTATCCCTTAAAATATAATTAAAAAGAAGAAGAAGAGGAATCTGGATCCGCAACAGATGATGAAAGGGAGCCGACACAGCCGAGCAGCCAGGTCACTCCCCGAGAAAATGTGTTTGGGGCTAAAATCCGAACCGCTGGCAAAGAAAGCAATACGCCCTCGACCAGCGCCAGTGGGACTTCTGCTCCTTCGAAACCCATCAGACAAACAGTCAAACATCCTTTCAAGGCGGTGGCCTCCACCCATGTAAGGCTGCAGAAACAGTTCCACGTGCCCCAGCACTAGCACTGAAAATTCAAGAGCTCCTAGAGGTCACATCAGTATTGCAGACTGAATTAGTCACATATGAATATAACAACAAAGCTAAAATCAAATTAATTAAAAGCAAGATCCAAATATATAAGCCCTAAGCTGTTACTTTATTTTGGTTGACCAACTTCTTACCATATCATTTTCCTCTTTACCATTACTTTTTCTACCTAAAAGAAATCCCTCTTCTAATTTACCTTGTTGCTATTTATAGACGAATACTTAACAGTAGTATACTGTTCTGTAACTGGCTTTTTGCATTTCCATTCCCTAAACACACCCACTTTTAATTTGATATGAGTAAGTTTTCTGATCACATTTTACCCAGAACGTAGTAGACAACGCTGATTTGCATACACTTCTAATGGTCACGGCACACGATTTGCATTATTTGCCCCAGATAAACAAGAATAAATATATGCATAACATAACTAATCAAGCGGAAATTACACTTTTCTCTCCCCTAAACCGCCAATAACGCCCCTTACTTTTCAGGTGAGAAGGCGAAAATCGGGAGCAGGTCGCCTGGTAACCGTTGTTAAATCGAAGTCCTGAACCCCTAAAATACCAGCGATCTTACAATTCTCGAATTTTAATTTATAAGTAGAAACTAAACGGCAATAATTCAAAATTATTGGCCATTGCTCACAAGAAAGAATTACTTTACTTAAATTATGATGAACCCCGCGAGTGGGAGAAACTTAAAACTATGTAATAAACAGATGATGAGCAAATGTGTTTTACAGAGCAACTGGGTGCGGAGGAGATTAAATGAATGTGAGAGCCTGGAATTGTAAACTTGATTTGGGTGATTGGGTGCCAGGAGTTCGATGTATGAGCTTGGGATGTAGATTGCAAATGGGCGTGGCTGAACCAGCTCTACGGGTCTCATTTCTCCGGTCCCTGTCCCTCGATCCCAGCCTGGTTCATCAAATCCGCAATGCTCTTCTCCAGATCGTCGATGCGGTTACCCATGTCATCGATGCGCGTTATTATCTGGTCGGACATCGTCTGAAACTTGTCTTGAACGTTCTGCAACAGATTTTGTACCTGATAACAGGAGGCGGATTTTACTGGGTGCTTATTTCGGGTCTCTATTTACTGGGTGTTTCCCGGACCGGGCATTACTCACGTAAATGGTAAGCTCCTGCATGTTCTTTGGGTCTGCATTGCTGTTTAGGGAGTAGTTCTGGTCCAGATCGCTGTCCATCTCGTTGCGCAGATCGGTCATTCTGTGGCTTCTTTGTGGCGCTGTATAAAAGTACAAAATTCCTATCGCTTCTAGATGTTATGCTTCTGTTTGCGACTACGGCTGTTTCACTTCTGCAAATTAATTTCTTTATCAAGCCTAGAGGTGGACTCCGGCCCGATACGCGATTCGATATATATAGTGGTGGCAGGATAGCTATTTACGGTAGGCATATACTTTATGATTTATTTTATACAAAATATTTTCAATACCTTATAAAATAAATAAACGTATTTATTGTTTCATAAAATTTGATCATTTTAAAGAATAACCTAAAAAAAGTTTTCGGAATAATGAAAATATGTAGCACAATTTTACAAAGCTTTTTGACATGACAGTCGAGCTATTTCTCTGAAGATTTAGCTAAAAATTTTATAGCCAACTACATATGTTGCCAAGGATATTACTCAACACTGCCCCACGTGTATTTTTTTATCGCCTCCAAAATTTGGAGTCCAAATGGAAATCGAGGAGGAAAAACCGCAGGTTGTTAACGAAAACCCTGATTTTAAACCATGTAAACTTACTACTCTCTTACAGATAATTGCGGAAAACCCCAATGAAAACGTGATACGAGAACGCAACGCCGAAATCGTATCCGGCGGAAATGTGTTCTATAATCCTGTGCAGGAATTCAATCGTGATCTGAGTATCGCGGTTCTAAATGTTTATCACAAGAGATTAATCAAGGAACGAGCCGAAAAGGCGTTAAAAAAGCAACGAAAAAAGGTGAAAGAGGAGAATGTTGAGAAAGCCGCTCTTGTTCCCGAGGATCTACCTGTTTATGAGCCTGGAACTCGCTATGAAGATGGACTTCGGATCCTAGAGGCCCTCGCAGCCACCGGCTTGCGAAGCATTCGCTACGCACAGGAAATCGCCGGAGTACGCCAAATCGTGGCTAATGACCTTTCCCGGCAAGCGGTGGCCTCCATCAGCACAAATATCCGGCACAACAAGGTGGAGGAGCTGATCGAGCCCAGTCACTCGGATGCCATGTAAGTGGAGAGAAATTTTTCAAATACTGTATCTAATAATACGTATCTCACAGGACCCTCATGTATCTTTCAACTCACCCCGAGAAGCGCTTCGATGCTGTGGATCTGGATCCCTATGGATGTCCAAATCGTTTCCTTGACGGTGCCATGCAGTGCCTAGTAGATGGTGGTTTGCTCCTGGTAACTGCTACCGATATGGCCGTACTGGCGGGCAATGCTCCGGAAGCTTGCTATGTCAAGTACGGATCAGTGCCGCTGCGAATGAAGTGCTGTCACGAAATGGCATTACGTATCTTGCTTCACTGCATCGAGAGTCATGCAAATAGGCATGGGAAGTACATCGAACCGCTTTTGAGTATATCAGCGGACTTCTACATCCGGATCTTTGTACGAGTGTATATCGGACAGGCCCAGTGCAAGCTGTCGATGAGCAAACAGTCGTGGATATACCAGTGCACCGGCTGCGAGACCTTCACGTTGCAGCCCTTGGGCATAACTAAGCCGAATCCCACGGCTGGTAATCCTCAACAGCTGAAATTTGGAATTCCCACTGGTCCGGCTGCCAACACGCAGTGCGAGCATTGCGGTCACAGGCACCACCTGGGTGGACCCGTCTGGTCGGCTCCAATTCATAATCCTGAGTTCGTACACGATCTGTTAACAGCCGTGCAGGAAACATCGTTACAATCCCTGGGTACGCAGAGGAGGATCGTAGGAGTGCTTTCTATGGTCCAAGAGGAACTTCACGATATTCCCCTTTACTATACTCCCGATAAGCTGTGTTGTGTGCTTAAGCTGGAAATTGTGCCTATGCTGAAGTTCCGCTCTGCCATTCTCCATGCTGGCTATCGAGTGTCCTACTCGCATGCATCGAAGAACTCTTTGAAGACCAATGCTCCTCCAGCGGTGCTGTGGGATATTCTGCGCAGCTGGAGCAAACGACACCCGGTTAACCCTGAGAGGAAGATTCCCGGCACTCCTCTCGAGGCTATACTTTCGAAGGAATGCACAACGGACTACGAGTTTGATGAACTTCACCCGGAGGCGAACCCGAAGAGCCGTAAATCGGCACTATCACGGTTTCAAGAAAATCCAACACCCCATTGGGGACCAGGAACAAGAGCCACTATCATGTAAACTTAATAATCTAATCTTTCATTTTGGTTCACTAAATTTCCACCCATTCCCAGGATTGGCGAAAATAAACTGCCCAAGAGCTATCGTAACCAGAACAAGAAGCAGCGTCACAAAGCTTCGCAACAACAGATGGAGGAGGATCAAAAGGATGCTCCACAAGCGGTCGAGAATGATGATGATGCGGAGCACCTGGCCAAGCAGCCGAAACTAGAGGCGACTGCGTGACGACTGCTTCCATGTCATAAATTTATTGCCAATAATGTTTGTAAAACCCAAAACACCAAACCGTATTTCTCATGGGAAAGAAAACACTTCTGGATGATTAATAGCGGAAGAAGTTGCCGTCAGAGGTCTGGCGTGAGAATCCGTTGTTGACCAACTGGTTGTGGACACCGCTGCATATTAGCTTCACACTGTGCGGATGTATCTTTTCCTTACAACCGCCTGAAAGATCAATTTCCAAATTTTAAAAGTAGTGTTGCTGACAAGATTGAATATAACTTTACCAATACGAAGCGGGTGACCGAGTACATCCTCTTGCTTACGCCGAATGAAGCGAGTGTTCCGTAACACCCGAAATGACTTGAGTTGGGAACCTATTTCTTTTGCCGCACCGGGAGCCGACCAGCTGCTTACGGCGCGACAAGTCTCTCGTTGCATCACATAGTCGACCTTATCAGGAAAGGCTTCACGGGTATGGTCGTAGCGTGCCTGCAGCGAGAAATCCAACGTATCCTTCGGGATGTTCGGATTGGCACGGTAACGCTTGCTCGCACGCACCGAGTTCATCGTCTGGTGATAGAAAAGCCGCTGGTACGGCTCCAGATGGCCATACCATGTCCCCGGATTCAGTTGAGGATCCGGCTGGGGAGGCTCAGGAAAGGAGCACACATAGGTGCCTTCAGTATGCAATTCTGGCTGCCTAAGAATTCACCATTAACATCCGAAACGAACTCGATTGAGGGTAAAACTTACCATGATTTATTTTTGATCTGCACAGTATCATATTGAATCATCTTACAGTAGGAATCAAATTAATTTTGAGTGAAAGGATAAATGTTTGACGAGAGTGGAAAATTACTGGACCTGCTTTAGAAAAGCTTGTATTTGTGATTTTGGCTTCGGTTTCCCTGAAAACTGTTTTGTCAATAAACCTCCCGACTGCCTTGTTTTTGGTGTCAATGGAAACCAAAACATCAAAATTGTTTTTTGTGGAAATAGTAAAGAAACTAAATCGCCCTTTTTGAATATTGCAAATGTATATCATTATTCAAATGTTTAATTCCATTTCCCAAAAAATAACATTGTTTAATATAAATCAAATTCAATTTTATTGTATATTTTAGCTGCAAAGAGGGTTAGTTAAATATCAAACTCACCAAGATTCCAGGTCGTTGATGTTATCCAACCATCGATCGAGTCAGGTCGTGATCTAAAAACGACATCGCTCACATCGTCGAAGTGGCTCCGCTGGAAATGTTTTTTCTCCTAAAGTCTAAAGGGACGCCCACCAACATACAGGAAAACACCAACAACGCCAACCAGCAACAAATCGCGAGACGAGATGAGACGAGAGAAGAAGTGACGGGAAACAGGAAACTATGAGTGACTGCTGATCTCAGCTCCCAAGCTGGGCACTCTGAGAATCTGGAGCTATGGCAGCGGCAGCGGCAGGGGCTAACAGGAAACTGCTACGGCAACTGCGAACTGCAACATCAGCGGCACCGGCAACAGCGTCGTGCAACAGCAACGTGCGACAGCAGCAGCAACAGCATCTTCGGCAGCGGCAAAAAAATACAGCAGCCACGCGACGTCCGCTCCTGGGAGGTAGGAGTTGTAGCTTAGATGATGCGCTGCTGCTGATTCTCCCTCGCGATTTAACCACAATCTTATCTGAACCGCAACAACTGCCACACACCTTTTGCCTGCATGTATATAATAAACGTGTGGGAGAAGCTTGTTAATAAGTTTGTCGTTAAAAAGATACAAAGAACGGAAACGGGCAACACAAACGCAATCGAATCGAATAGTATCGAACGGAACGCAACGAAACAAACAGATTCCTAGAGCAGTCCTATCACTCGTCCTTCTCTCTTTTCCCCTCTTGTCTGTCCTCTGATATTTGGGTATTAAGTTGAGGCCGTGTTAATTTGAGTTTATTATGTTCGGTTTCTGGTTTTGTTCAAGTTTTCTTCTACGCTACTAATAAGTATATCAAAAGCCTAATGTGAATGAGCTGACATCGAGGGATTGCCCATTAAGCGGGCATCGCGCTCGGAACATAATCTTGCCTGTTCTCTACTTATATTCACTCTGTCGAAACTTAAAATAGTTCGCTATAAATAGTTGTGTAAAGTGTAAGACTGTTTAAAGGTTTGTATACCTGCTGTTCTGGTACAGCACTACACAGGAGGAGCCACAGACCCGTCCGTGGAGACGGAATCGGGCTTTGTCAACGAGCGATATCTGGAAAAAATAAATAACTAGAGTTAGAATACATCTTGTGATACGTATTAGGCATTATATATTTGACAATGACACAGAAGTAAAGTTATATCATACTATATATTTCACTTTACCTCGCACTTCTAAAAGTTGGAACGTTTCTTAGATATTTAAGAGCGGCTGCGACTGCGAGACGCAGCTGTTCCCAGGGCTCCAGACCCACTCCCGATTCCGTTACGACTGTCGCCGCGTACTGGACTGCGTGAGAATTTTGATCGACGCTCCGGCGAATGGCTACCAGCTGAGCGGGAACGTGAGTATGAGCGGCGACGCGGACTGCGCGAACGGCGGCGCATTGGAGAGCGAGATCGTGAACGACGACGTCCGCCGGATCCACCGCCTCCGCCACCACGACGGCCACTGGAGCTGCGAGTGGGCGACGAGGGGCGGCCATAGCGAGCCATCTGGACACGGAGCTCCCTGCCGTCCAACATGCGACCGTCCATTGCCTCTAGTGCGTCCTCGGCATCACGTTTGTCATAGAAGCTGTAATAAAAAAAAAGTTTAGATTGAATTAGATCTTTGGACTTTAAGCTTAAGTACTATGCAAAAAAAAAATGTTTAATTGTGAAGTGTAGGGTTCACAGTATGTTGGCTAGCAGGGTTTTGGTAGGCAACAGTTGCAAGTAAACACAGTCGATCTGGCACCTTTTTGCTAAGGAAAATGTACAGATTAAGAGCTGAACATAATCATAAATAGCAAATAATGCATATTAAAAAGGGTTCATAAATTTCAGATGTAGTATTCTCAGTATGTCGGCTAGTAAAAGTTGAGTAGGCAACAGTTGCAAGTGAACACATTTGGTCTGGCACCCTTTTGCTACTGAAAACGTACAGAAATATAACTGATACTCTTTCAATGATAGCAAATAATGCAAATTAACATGATGACTTCACTTCACTTTGTGAGTCTATAAAACTAGTTTGACTTTAATATAATAAATAAGATATAGTATAATAGATTCCTATGGCTGGAATCGAGACTGTACTAGGGTCAGGTTTTTAAAGAACCTGGCAGGCAAAATAAAATAAAAACTAATGCCGAGAATAGGCCGTAGTAAAAAAAAAAACAGGGATTACTTACCGCACGAAAGCGAATCCACGACTCTCGCGTGTGTAGCGATCCCTGGGTATATAGATGTCTCCTACTTCACCGCATCTTTCGAAGACGCGACGCAGGTCCTCCGGTGTGGTGCGATATGTGAGATTGTCGACCTGCGGATATTAATACACGCGGGTTGATTAACATGCGGAAAAAGAGGTTATCTAACCAGGCAACGTTGCCAGCCGGTAGCCATTTTGAAAGCGCTTCGTCGGTTTTCTAAATAATTACCTTCAGGGAAACCATTCCATCGATTCTAGGAGGAGGACGCGCTGCGCCCAGTCCCCCTGCACTACCACCGTTGCTCATTTTTTATGTACAGATATTTATTTTCCCTTAAAATGAACTACGACTGAAAATAGGTTTATCTTCGGCAACGATTTTTTCTTTTCTATTAAAATGGCGTAAGGCAAGACGTTAAGGCTGGAATAAAACCGATTGTTATATTTGACAGCCTATCGATATAAGTATAGCAGAGATGCAGAAAAGTACATTTCTATCGATGAACGGTTACTTCAAATTAAATAATATATCGTTTAAAATAACAAATACACATATATTTAAAAAACTCCCAATTCATTAAATTCGTACCTCTGTTTTGTGTATTAATGTTTTATAAATGGCTAAAAACTTTGATAAATGTTTCATTATATTATCTGAACCTTAATAAAAATGTTGTTATTTGAATTATATCTTAAATTTATTTTTAATAAGATATGAGGTACATATGTAGTAATAATTTTTTGCTTTAAATAAAAACTAGTGTCCCGGAAATAGTTATATATTGCAATATTCATATCTCTTTCGTTTCCCAGTAGACCTTACTGTACCCGCATCGATAAGCCGATAACATTGTCCATTCGTGACAACCCTAACTCCATGCGTGGCTTGAAACGTGTAAAATAATAAAAGTTTTGTTAATTCCGAGCACTGCATTTAGTGTTGAGGTAGTTAAATCGCACCTGCAGGTCACCAGGTGGACGCCACTGCCTTAAACAGCCTATAAAGCAACAGATCGAAAACGTCTGGAAACCGAGTTGGCTGGGCTAAACACCCACAACAAACAGAATACACCGAACCATAATATTTGGAGTAGACCTCATTGAATTGAAAGTCTGGCTTTAATACCCTCCGCTAAAGCATACACCCCCAACAAGCTAACAAACATTGAGGAGTCCGTTTGTGTGCGCGTTTTTTAGTGCCATTGCCATTCCCAATTTCTATTTCCATTCGCTATCCCATCCCAAGAAATCTGACCGCGTGTGTTCTGTGTGAGTGCGGGAGCAGCAAGAAGAAGCAGCCGTTTGAAGGAGGGCGAAAGTGTGTCGTCGCGTGAAAAAAGCGAGAGAGAGCAAGATTTTCATCGGGAAAACAGAGGAGGATTAACGGACGCACAGCAACGATGGCCGCCCAGGAAAACACGGAGATCAGCACAAAGTTCTCCACGCTGAATGTGAACGCGGTGGAATTTGTGCCCAGTTTCAGTTACAATAGCGTTGTCGCTGCGGCCGAGGAGGCGGCGGCGGTAGTGGTTGCAGCGGTGGCACAGGAGGCGGATCCGGGTCCCGCCTCTGGCTCAGCCACGCCAGCCACGACACCTGACTCCGTTGGCAGCGGGGGATCCACAGCGGGAGCAGCACCACCGCCTGCAGCTTCACAGGCGGCGACTGCGGCGGGGGCACCAGCACCACCCGCATCATCTTCAAATTCCGCATCGCCAGCACCGGGTTCGCCAGCCACTACGCCTTCTGCAGCAGCAGCGGCGGCGGCGGCTCCAACGCCCATTGAAGGTCTCAACCCCCCGGATAAGATCGCAAACAATGGTAAATAGAGCTAGCGAAACCCCCTTGTGACCCCCTTCCAAATCTCCACGCCCCACGTCCATTGAACTTTATTCCTCTGTGACGTCAACAAAGAAGCGTGTTATTGTTGCTACCTGCTGGTGGAGAAAGACACGCGAAAGAAAGTAGAGTGGGGAAAGGGTCATGCTGACATAGGGAAAACCCCGTGGAAAGGTTGCATTCACCAGGTTTTAGTTTAGGTTATTATCGGCGGATGAAGCACATAACCTCAATCTTCGCCAACGTTGCAGTCGGCATCGCATGTGTTGCTCGATTTCTATTAGATTTGCGTGCTTTATTATGCCGTTAAGCAAATTGCTAATCGCTTTTGACCGCCTCAGCGAAAAAACAGTTCATTGGTCAGGGCCTTTTCTTCGCCTGCTTTTCACGTCGTCGTGTCGCCATTACAGCGATGCCCAGGAATCACGGGCAGTCACTTTGTGATGTCATTAATAGTTGAAATACTTGGTCCGCAATCTTATATAAAAGAGTAGTACATTAAAAACTACGCGACATTTAGAGAGGCCATTCAAACCTATACATTTATACATATTCCCATAAACGATTTTTGAATAACTTATCTGTTCAGAGATATTTGTACCTACTTGTTGATCATATTCAGAATATGTAACACTTTTTATTATTATTTTAAAGTGAACTATAATGTTTAGTTTGTCTGAAATAATAATTCCTAATAATTTCCTCTTGCTATTTTTATTCATAAATTCTGTAGTGTAACACTTAAATATAGATGTTTTTATAGTGAAACTTGAATTTTTTGAAAGGTGCTTAATTGTTTCTTTGCCATTTTTTTTTTATAAGTCCTATAATTACACTTGCAAAATATTGTATTTTTTATTTTATATATTGTATATTTTTTTGAATTATTCTATAAACAAGTCCTCTCATATTGTTTGTTTGAGTATTAATTATCACTTCACATTCACTTCTTGTTACGCTGTTCCCAATCACAGCGCACCTCTGGTGTCCACTCACCCATTTGCAATTCGCCGGGCGACGCCGACAAGCAGCTGTTAGCGCTGTCATTTTACACCCGCTACGCTTTGTGCCGCTGTTTATTTGGCCATTTGCCTTGTCTCCTTCATCTTCACCCACACTCCCCAAATGGTTCCCCGCTATTCATGTGTTTTTGACACGTTTGCGTTTTTGCCAGCCGTTTATTGGAGCTCACGCTTTGCCCAGCTTCGGTTCGCGGACTGGAATGAAATGAAATAGGCATCCGTTCAGCTGGCTTACTCGTCGTTATCGCAGCGACTCCACTGTTTCTACATTGTATTCGTTTGGGCCGAATGGAAGCGCTTAGTGCAGCTCGCCGGCGGTTGAAACCGCTTCGAACTCGATTCCATGGCGTTTGGGCTGTGCGACAGGCAAGCCAAACCAACGAAAAAAGAATAATGTGCTGTTGGATGTTAGACTTTCGCGCGATCGCAGCTCCGCTCATTCATCTATCCGTTCCTGTTACCAATTCGATTTTTAGTTTTATGTATCGCAATCATGAGTAAGGGCGCCGGTTCCCGATACATTTACTCGAAGAAACCATCGTTTTCGAGTTGGAGAAAAAGTTAGTAGTCGGGATGTTACTAGTCGGGATCTGCATATTTTGGAATCCACTTCCCCTTCAGATGGTTAGATGATCTTGTATAAGGCAAAGGTTCGGGATTCTAACACTTGAAATCCACTCTAAACCGAGCACGTTGTCACCAGCACTTGATTCCGGCACATGACTCATCAGCCAGATGGTTGAAGTCAGTGTTTACCAATTAGCATGTGGCCGCCAGGTCAAGCACAGCGATTGCATGTGGCAGTAGTTACTGTACTAACACAGATTAGGCTGTAATTGAAGTATATAATTAAAAAAAATTGGTTATATTGTAGTTCCCACAAGTTTAAATAATAAATATTTGAGTGTTTCCTATTTCTTAAAAAATCATCGACCTTCTTTAAAGGATATCTATTTGCACAGTTGTCTCTTGTGGCATAAATTAAATTTTCGACAAAATTTGAAAGTTTTCTAAAAATAGTGATCTAAAAGATTCATTGTAATTCAAGCAAAATAGCAACGGAGAAAGAGAAAGCTCAAGTGAAATTTCTTTATCTACAAAACATTACTTTGCTGTGGGAAATTTCCAAACATACCAGAAAAAAATTCAAATTAACATTTTTACCGAAGTCTTTGTTTTTTTCGGTTTTAAACTAGATTAATCCAGTCAATGTTTTCGACTGTCTGCGTCACTATTTTAAGAAATATTTAAATAGGGTTAATTTTAACCCTATTTTTATTTAGCATATCTCATTCTTACTTAGATTTTTCCTTTTAAAATAGTGTTCTATATTTCCCTTTGGCAAATCTATTTATGATATAAAATGCAAAGTATGAATAGTATTGTTCTTCTATGCTACCCTATACCTAATTCCCCAGAAAATAAAGGCATTTCCCTACTCAAACAACCTGGAACCCTTCAGTAAATAACCATTTATTTATTTTGTATTTAGAAACCGATCCCGCTGATAGCTGGGATGTGGACGATGCAGTAATCACACCCGAGGATGAGGAGGTTGAGGATTCCGAGTTCGCGGAGGGCGAAGCCACTCCCAAAGTGTCCAAGAAGAAGGTAGTGAAGGTGGAAGAAAATAGAAGCAAGCGGGAGCACGTGAATGTTGTGTTCATTGGCCATGTTGGTAAGGAGTCAGGATTTAAAAAATTACGCCAAAACCCTTGCTAAATGGGGTTGTTTCTTTAAGATGCTGGTAAATCAACAATCGGAGGACAGATCATGTCGCTCACAGGAATGGTGGACAAGCGGACGTTGGAGAAATATGAACGAGAGGCTCGTGAGAAGTCGCGCGAGAGTTGGTATTTATCGTGGGCGCTGGACACCAATCAAGAGGAGCGTGACAAGGGCAAGACTGTCGAGGTGGGACGAGCCTTCTTCGAGACAGATCGTAAGCATTTTACCATCCTGGACGCTCCCGGTCATAAGAGCTTCGTGCCGAACATGATTGGTGGAGCGGCGCAGGCTGATCTCGCTGTATTGGTCATCTCGGCGCGAAAGGGTGAATTCGAGACGGGCTTCGATCGTGGCGGCCAGACCCGAGAGCACGCCATGTTGGCCAAAACCGCTGGCGTCAAGCATCTGGTCGTACTGGTCAACAAAATGGATGATCCCCACTGTCAGTTGGGATCAGACGCGCTACAACGAATGCAAAGACAAGATACTACCATACCTCAAGAAGCTGGGCTTCAACCCGGCCAAGGACCTTACCTTTATGCCTTGTTCTGGCCTTAGCGGCTACGGCCTGAAGGACCAAATCCCAGAGACGCTCTGCCCCTGGTATCGGGGGCCCGCCTTCATTCCGTTCATCGATGAGCTGCCCTCGCTCAACCGCAAATCTGACGGGCCATTCATCATGCCCATCGTGGACAAGTACAAGGACATGGGCACTGTGGTGATGGGCAAAGGTTGAGTCCGGAACGGCGCGAAAGGGCCAGAACCTGCTGGTGATGCCAAATAGGGTAGGGTTCAGGAGCTTTTTGACATTTGACATGGAACTAATGAATTATTCTTTTTAGACGCAAGTGGCGGTGGATCAGTTGTTCTCCGACGACTTTGAAGTCACATCTGTTGGTCCCGGCGAGAATGTCAAGATCAAGCTGAAAGTAAGTGTGCTTTTAGTTTTTTTTTTTTTTTGATTGAAATCAAGTCAGCTCTGTTACTAACCCTGTATTAACATTTTAGGGCATTGAGGAAGAGGATGTCTCTCCCGGTTTTGTGCTTTGCGACGCCGCTAATCCCATCAAGACGGGAAAAATCTTTGATGCTCAGGTCGTAATCTTAGAACACAAATCAATTATCTGTGCGGGTTACTCGGCTGTCATGCACATACACTGCGCTGCCGAAGAAGTCACAGTTAAGGTGAGTTTGTCTTAAAACCCCAATACTATTCAGGTTATAATTTTTATTTTATTTTTAGGCCCTTATCTGTTTGGTCGATAAAAAGACTGGCGACAAATCAAAAACACGTCCACGGTTCGTTAAGCAGGATCAGGTTGCAATTATGCGAATTGAGTGCTCCGGAATGATTTGCCTTGAACAGTTTAAGCTATTCCCACAAATGGGCCGTTTTACGCTCAGAGATGAAAGTAAGTCTTAAGTTCTCTTTACCAATCCAATAACTTAACTATTATCATTAACTTTTAGATAAAACGATTGCCATTGGCAAGGTGCTGAAGGTGGTCGAATAAATTGAGCCAAGCTGAATTCGAGCGCCCGCCTTTAACTGCGATTTTCGAGATAGCATTGCCTAAGAAGAGAAAACAGCCACAACAACAGCAACGCCACGCCACGCTTTCTTCACATTTGACAAATCCACATAAAAACAGTACACACCCACGCTCGAGCTCTCACTCTTACATATGGTTACTTTACTTTCTACCAGAAATAGCAATTGATTATGCATTGATTAGAGGAAGGTTAAATAGGAATCAAATCGAAACGGAACGGCAATGTAGAGTGCATTATAAGAACGGCAGGCGAAAAGTTAATTTAAAACCCGGACGCACGGATGGAGAGTTCAGAGATAGAAACAGAAATGCATTATATACGAAATATATACTATATTATGTATAACTAAGCAGCAAAATCGAAGCCAGCGAACGCGAAACAAGATGAACTATTTATATATATACACAAACAAGCGACTCACGTATATATAAATAATGTATGCGAAGAGCGAAAGAGAGTTGAAGAGGAGCCACGATTGATAACTGATAAAGCATTCATAGTTTCTTGGAAAAATTTTGTTTGTTAAGGCCCTCTCTCAAGGATATTGAGAATTAGTCGTCGTTTAACTTTGGTTTACTATTTTTGTATAAACTGTAGGCATAAAAAAGCGTCACGTACATGCCTAAATCGCGCGCAAGACGTGAATTTTTTAATACTAAAAACTAAAAAGCTGCAAGCTACCCCATTTTTGTATTTGTACAAGCAAAAGCTAGAACCCAATCCTCCTTACCCATTCAACTTCCTGTATGCGCCTTCAAATTGCAAATTTGTTAAATACCCTGCAAAATACAATACGATATTTCCGCTCTTCTTTTTTACATGATATAATCTAAATGCTTTAATTTAAGTTTAAGCTTAAAGAAAATGGAGTAAAGTTCGATTCGTAAGCTCAAAAGTCTTTGAAACATTGAAGAACACGACGGAAGAAGCCTAACAGAGAAACGAACATTATCACTTACGTAAACATCTTATTGTTAACTTTAATCTTAGCCCTCTGATAATACCACTTTATTTTGCTGATTCAAGCTAATATTTGATTTTTTACAATTTAGTTAATTGAAGAATTCGTGCGAGTTGAACACGAAACAACTTATGAAAAAATAAAATGCCTTTTGCTACCAAGCAGAAACAAAAACACAAAGAATCGTTCGGTTTTTATTATTATTTTTCGCCAAACGTTGTTTTTATTTTTACTCATCCAGATCCAGGACCAAGGCGGTTTCAAAACATATATCCCCATTATTCAGAATCGGTCTTCCCTTTTTATTATTTAAAATTCAATCTTTGTTGAAATTGAAAGTTGTTGCCCTTACAGAGTCAAGTAAATAAATGAATCAAAAAATAATATCAATTAAGCACGTTGAGCAGTCCCCTAAGTTAATTTAATTAACTTATCAATACTTAAATCGAGGACATATTTAATGAAGGACTTGAACCAGCTTTTGACGCTTTTCGCAGCCTCCTACGAATCGAACTCGAATGATAATTAAATCATATTGTAATAAAACTAAGTGCGATATAATTGTTGACAACGCGGAAACTTATTTAAAATGTTTCACACTCACACTCCCTCAACACACACACACACACTGACACTCAACCAAATCACACACGCAAAGATGAAACGGAAGTCGAGAACTACGCCACAGAGGAACAGGAGCGATCGTAATAATAGAAATTATATAGACAAAACGGGAAATTTATACAGAAAACGAAATTCAAATGTATTATTATTATACATATACGTATGAAATGAAAAAAAACAAACGATCTGCATAAATTTGAACATTTTTTATCAATAAAAGTGAAAGTGAAAAATTACAAAAAAAAGATGAAAACCAAACGAAAAAAATGAGTGATTTTATTTCTTTATGGATTATTTATAGATGGAAAATCGGAAAAAGAAATTATTACAGCTGCATAATTTCAAACAATTTTATTTATATACATACGTACAAATAAATTCTTTTAGTTTTCTTTATTAAACTAGACTTGGTACAGTAACTTGAACTTAGGACGTAATAAAAATAATTAACAATTGTACATTGGAATACGACATTGGATAGTGGAAGTCCAACACCGAAGATCCTATCATATAGCTGGAAAGTTTGTACATATGGCTTTGGATTATTGGCTTCGCCCGATCTTTGTCTCTTTACAATCTTTACAGGAACTTAGTCCTAGGAATGAATCTGTAGTGTGTATTGTACGAATCTACTCCTTATAATTGAGTATCACGGATGGGATAGCCTTTTAGTATTATTCCTGGTCTGTTTTCTTTGCCAGGAGTGGTGTGATAGGTTGGTCCCTTCTGTTGGCTCGCTCCTCTTCCTTGATTTCCTTCATGCCATAAATGTCCAGAGTCCGTCCGTAGTACCAAACTAGATAGTCAAAGAATAGTCCCATAAAGGTGAGAACTGGAAGTAGGAGGGAGATTTCAAGTTTAAAGGGTGATATAATATTCTATGTGTATATTTTTAACCTTAATACTTACTACAAGACAAAAAGTTGAGGTAATATCGGAATCGAGTCTGATCGTAAAGCTGGCAGTTGCCATTGCCGTTGCAGGTCTTCGTCCACACTAGGCACGTGGAGTCGATAAGCCGGCCGAAAATGATGGGACCCGGTATCAGAGCCAGCAAGCTAATCATCATCAAAGCCAGACCCTGGGCAAAGGACTTGTCCTCGAAGGCCACAGCTCGATAGTTGACCAAAACGTTGCCCACTCGACCGGACGAGCCAAACCAGCTAACGATCATCGAGGTGATTGAAAAGGCCCAAAAGGCCCAGTTGCAGTTCTTCGTACAAATTCCCGGCCGTAGCACCGAATCGGGAGTGGATCTCCTGGTTCTCGATAGCAACTTCTCCTCGAAATCATCCTCATCCTGATCATTTAGGAGGGGCACTCCATCAAAAAGCCATCAAAGTCAGTAGTGCTATCCAGTTCTGGTTCTGGAGTGGGTTGCAAAAGATTCAGCAGGCGTTGGGCTGCACTCTTGGGGGGAGTGTCATAAGCAAGACAGCTGCAGTCCTCATACAACTTAGAGGTGGCATTGTAACCTCGGCATCCGGCATGGCAGGCTGAGAAGAAGGTGGTGTCCGTTGGCTCGTGGCAGACGGGTGTGTAACTGATGCCCTCACAAGAGCAGTTCATGTTGCAGGAACTCGTCAGGTTCAGTCTGTGGGAAGAAAAACAATTAAATGAATTTTTATATATATTTCCAGCTACTTACTGTCCCACATGGGTCATGGAGAAGGTGTCCGGGCAGTAGAGGAAGGCGTATGAGATTTGTCCCAAAATAGAAACTCCACCAACAATCACGTTCCACATCAGCACCTTGCTCACATGGGGCTTCTTCTTGGACAGCACCACACCGGAGCCAATCAGACCCACGACCATGCCGAGGATGGAAATGGGACCAACGATCTAAATAAAAATTAAGAACACTTTTTACAAAAACATTTCTTATAAAAAAAAGTATAGCACCTACAATAGTGGCACTTTGAGGGTCCTTATGGAACTGCACCTCCATGTATTTGGTGAGGAAGGTCATAAAGCCGGAAGCTCCTAGGATATAGAAGACCGCCGAGAGGATGTTGAAAATGAGCAGCTTGTTGCGTAGCAATCGCATGAGAGCGCGTGGGAAGTCCTTAAGCTTTGGGAGCTCAGCATTTGCCCCCGCTGCTGCTCCAATGGTATCCAAAGCTGCGTTCGAAGAGAAACGGCTGCTCAGGGAGAGATTCTCCTCCCGTTTGAGCTCCTCCTTCGTCTGTCGCAGTGCCAATGGCAAATGAGAGTTGGTTCTTGGCCCGTCATTGACCTTAGGCAGCTGTTTGGGGAACAGACCGATGAGTCCTGAGAAAAGACACATCAGGGTGCCCAGAATCACCCAACCTAGCCACCAGGCTCCCAGCCAGCGAGGATCCTTTCTGTCGATCAAAGGAGTTTTGGTGGGATCAATGAAGGTGTTTAGCGACAAAAACCCTATAGTGGCACAGAAAGAATAAATTATTTATTAATCGTTAATTATTTAAACTTTTTAAGTCTCACCAAAGAAGAATCCCACGATTGGACCAACCATCCTCAGTGCCATGGCCACCGCCAGCATCAGGGGAGTGTTTGTCTTCTTGGTATTATCATCGAGATAGGTCTGTCCCAGGGAGTAGTACATGGTGTTGCCCACGCCCAGCACAAACTGTGAGACAAAGATGAGCACCAGTGGCACGTAGGAAAAGACATCATTGCACTCGTCCTCCTTATTACCCGTTCCACAGAGTTTCTCCGTCTGCACAACACTGATATTCTTCATAAAAGAGAAATCGTTTAGAAAGATATTGATAAAAGGGCAGTGAAAGTAACTAACCACCAGGGTCTGACCATCATTAGAGGTGCCATTTAGGAGGCTCTCCTGGTACTCCTTGGTGAACTGCAGAACCTCGTGACCAGCTCCGTAGATAAAGTGAGGCAGGACGAGGATGTAGCAAGACAGACCACAGAAGACAATGCCCCAGGCTATCCAACGAGGTCGGTTCCGCTGACCACCGATATAGGACAGGATGAGGGACAGCAGGATTTGAGAGATTTCATTTCCGCTAAGAATAATTCCTAAAAAATTATGCACATTAAAAATGTTTAAATTTATTATTCGTCTTTTTATTTTACCTGTCGTTTGACTGGGAATCTTGAAAGCGCTTTTCCAGCGTGGTGAGGGTGACAATGAAGTACATGTAGGACATGGCCTGAATTGTGCCGAGTAGTCCGTAGACGCCCATGAACATCTTGGTGGTGGCATACTTCTGCAGCCAGGCCGGATGCCAGTTGGCCATGCCGCACAAGTAGTGCCCGGGTGGGGGATTCGATCCCCGACGTTTCACTTCCGTCATCTTCGATACCGTACCGCCTTCAACTGCGGGATGCTAGTGTCTTGTCTATGTGACTCTCAGCGAACCATCGATTTCAGGCGATAAGATTGCGGACACGGCTTCCCGATTGATAGTGAAGTGATAGCCAAACAGTCTGCAAAGGGACAGAGCAAAGGGAGGGGTATCTTGTAAATAACGAGTGCCTTAAGCTTTCCAGGAAAGGATTTCATTGCCGGAGTGTATTTCACCACGCTCTCTGAAACTTAAAAATCACTCCCGTAATCATGACTCTCGGGATCCAGAAATCTTCAAATATCGTTTAGGGCTTATAAAAGTTGTTGATAGGGAAATTCGTGGTATTGATTAGGTATCGATAATGGCACCTCTTCAAGATCACATTGGGTCTAGGCCGAGGCGATTAGATAAACTGGTTCTCCTTTGCCAAACATATGATATCTTTATTGTCCGGTTAGCTTCTATAAACAGCAACATTTACTTCATAACGATGACCACTGAGACATCTCTTTTAGATTGATCATGCCACCAGCCAAATTGCCTTGGATTATGGTCTATTGAAAAGACCTTATCGTGTGTTTTTTAAGGAAGCAGCTCTTTATCCTAAAACTATGATACTATGACATGCGAAGAAAACTCGCTTGAAAATTCTACGCACTTTTAAGAATAAACTTCCCTTATCGACAACGGTTCTACCTTGAGTATCAATCATAATTACGACTTTTTGTGGTTTTCGAACCCACAACCATTAACTGAAATCAGTTTGATGAACTCCGGGAATAATGTTTGTAATGTAATTCCTTGCTTATCACTTTATTGAATAAAAAGCCTCTTTTATTGTGACTCAGACAATTTGATGCCAATTTTATTTGTTGACCGCTTTCCATTTATTATTAGGTATGCCAACAACAGTTTCGTCTGGTATAAGGAGGCTTATCAAAATTTTGATTTGAAATTTAGAAGTGACTGATTAGTTAAAAAAAGCGGTTTGGTGTTTCCTAGCAGTAACTGCTTATTCGCCATGCTTCTTCAAAACAAATGGAAAAATACATACTAGAACCATGCATAGAATTATTTATAATTTGTAACTATTAAGACTAAACTTTTTAAAAATATATCATAAATCAGAAATATTACTATAAAAATACCTGTTAATGTTTCAACGTTCAATACTAGAAAAATCTGCAAGTTTTCCATAAAATTCAAATTCAAATTGAAGACGGTAAAATGAGCTTCAGCTTTCCAATTATTTTTAATTGACCTTAAATATTTAGATAGAAACCCCTCTTAAAGGCGTCTTCAGAGATCTAAAGATGCCCGGCGAGGACATTATATTGAGGTTCCTTCCGCATATCAAGCTACAGCTACCCCAATGTCGAACGATGAATGCCGCCCCGATATCACAATCGAACCGATTACCAGACAGGTGTACGTACGTTTCAAGAGTCGAGCGATGAGTTGCCTATATAGTGCGCATTATATCAATTGCCAAATGGTAGTCACACTCGTTAACCGTACAATCTAATCGGCACTTATGCGATTAATTAAATTTGCCGTTTGGAGTTCCTTTTTCGCAGGAACTACTTGTGCTGCATTGAACAGGTAGTAATAGTTGGACACGGAGGCGTTGGCTATGGCGGAGATAGAGATCCGTACCGAATCGAGGCGCGAGTAAAACTGAGAAACGAAATTTGAAAATTCCCAGGCATTCCCGCCGTGTCCGCTTGACAGTGCCGCCAATCGAAGCCTGATAAAGCTTTATCAGGCCATAAAGCCGAGGGCGGGAACAATCGGTTCTCTCATCGCTGCTCTGGCCCACGTGCATATCAAATATTTTTGGACATATCTGTGTACTATGGCTTATCGGACCTCTTTGTTTTCTTCGTGGAGAGAGTGGGGATCAGTGGAGACTTCAGCCGCAATACAATACAAAGCGAACAATAAAAGAACGCGACAATGACATTATTATTACGATCTCTAACCCCCAGCCCCGACCCACACCCCCACCATTCGCAACCCCATGCGAATAGAATTGTAAGCAAGTGAATTAGCAGAATGTGTAGACTACTATGCCGCATGTGCATCAAAGAGTGTGGACAAGGGTTGACACCAAAGTTCTAGGTATCCGTCTTGATGTGCAGGTCAGGATCGCTGGCTTTCTGGAGGTGTGAGTTCTGGCCAATGGCAAGTAGCATAGACATGCCGCTCCAAAGTATCCCTACGAGGATCAGTACTACGAATATGGACTGCGCCAAGCTCGGCGACATAAGCGTAGAACATGACCAGCAGGGCTTCACCTCATACTTCTCGTCCTTGCCGCTATTCGTATCTGCAAAATATATCGAAATCATCTATATTAGTTATAGCATTTTGTTAAATAAAGATAATAAATTATAAAAAATATTTCTGCGAAATTTAAAATAATTTATATCCCAAAATTCCACGTTTACCACTCACCTTCTAAAATGATGTCCAGGTAAAAGTCGAAGAAAGTTAGTCGCACCGCTTCCAAAGCATAGACCGTGATGTCCGTGCAACAAAGACTGAATTCATAACCGAAGAATATGAGGTCACGGGGGTAGTGAGAGGAATTTCCGGCGACGATGCGGGTAAAAAACCAGTTGCCATTCGATGGAACAAACTCCATAAGTAGAGGACCGATGCTTGTGTCCAGAAAGAAAACGACGCCATCGATCATGTCGTGGCCGTTGAGGAAGCCCACTTGGATGTCCTCCCTCCCATAGGTGAGGGTTATCTCCGTTCGATTGACGGGGGTCAAACGTCCTCTCCGCTCCATTGTTGCCATCAGGATTTCTCGAAAGGATAAGACAACAATTTCGTGACGCAGAACGGTCCTATTATCAATAATACTATAGCCACGGTGGAACCCGGTATCAGATCCATTTGATGCTCCACCCGAGTTCTTTGATGGCTCCGTTGTTTTGGACAGTGGACGACTCTTGTAGGCTTTACGACGCTGGTAGGCCTGGTCTTCCTCCGTATAAGCCGTATAGACATGAACCACGGGGCAATCGCTGAACTGATAGGTTGCCACGGCCATGGCAGCGTCTAAAGTAATAAATATTAATTTACAATGTTAATAGATCATAAAAATTTTCTGCATTTATTAACAATTATATTGTTTTTCCAATAAAAACTCACCATGTGCAAGGACATTGCGATCGTTAAAACTGAAGGCGTGTATCTTGCCTTTTTCACAAGGCAGCTCCATTTCCACCTCCAGTTTCCTTATATCCGTGATGACTGGGTGGTGCCAGGTAATCCGACTGGTTCTCCCACGAAACCGTTCAACGGCCTCCAGAGGCTCTTCCACCTGGCTGTAGTAGTTCATGGGCTGAATTTTACTTATGTAGGGAAAGCACGCCTCACAGTTTATATCCTTGGCAGCCAGCTAAATAATAAGGTTTTAACCATATAAACACTTTAATAGTCTTATGAATCACCTCAGAGGCTAGGTACATCACTATCATATTGTCCTTCTCCAGGTTTTTTATTATCTTGTTGAACTGCTCAGAAGTAACAGGACGAAACACACTCGTACCTTTAGGACTTCAAGGGAGTTACTTTTAAGGGATTATATTATTATTACCATATTTACGTATCAGCGCCCCAGATCAAGACTGGCGGAGAACTGGTCACTTTTGCCGAAACCAAAGAGAAATTTACTAGCAATAGGAAACTTATTAGGCAATACATCTTGAATATTTCTCTTGACCTTATGAAATTTCAAGTAGTTTCAAACTGATTTTAGGCTTAGTTAAGGTATGACACATAATTCCGGCTTGCTTTTTTTTATAGGTTAATCCTGTATTCACAATACACAATTGCTCTCTTCAGGGATAAAAAATCTATCTTACTTAACCTTATTTTTTCACCTTTTCTGATGGATAAACTTTTCCCACAGTCAGGTTTTTGGTAATTACGATCTTATTCCTCCAACAATGCTTAGACACTTGTTGCTTCAACATGTTGCTAATGATCCAAAAGTATGCGTAAGCAGTGGCAATAAAGTTGCAATCAAAAAACAAAACAAAAAACCTAAAAACGATAAGATAAGAACTAGCTTATCACAGAAATGACGGAAAAAGAGAGAGGGAATCGGTTCTGGCCATGTAAAGCTCCTCAGTTCGCTCCCATTCTTCTTTTCGAATAGACGTTAGTGCGGTCTTAACGCGGTTAAAATGCCAACGAACCAGGGCCACTAACTAAATTAATCAATGACCAATAACAACAAGCGAGTGAAGTGAAGTGAAAATAACCGAATCCGAAATCGAATACGAATATGGCGCACAATACGCGCAACTCCGATTTATCGCAGATAGCGGTCAATGCCAACAATATACCCGATGGTGGGTGACCCAAATCGCATTTCGATTTCCTATAATTTATTGAGAATTTTCTTAACCCAACCAGATAGCGTTGATTGCGGCATCAAAGGTCTGGGCTGGTGCCGCGGTCCTGGATGCCAGAAATATGCCAGACTGCGCACCTTTATTCTGGTCTTGGCCATTTCGGGAACACTCCAGGGTGCCTGTGAATCCTACTTCCGTGTTTCCGCCAAACAGGCCGCCTTCCAATTTGACTATAGTCCGCTGCTAGTGGGTGAGTAAGCACTATTATCGCAAAAATGGGAAAATGCTAACATGGCCGGGGAAAGATAATTGAGGTGTTGGCCCGGTTCTACGTGGAGATTTCAAGTGGTGTTATCAGTTGTGCGATATTCTTGACGATTACGCTCTATTTTCCTACCTGTTACCCCTAGGTCGAAATTGAATATTAGTCGAATTTATTGAAAAGTTTTAGTAAAAGTCTTTATAAAATACAATCAGATATAAAATATGTAATTGACTAATTGAGCAAACACTCCCAAAATACAAGCAATAGCACAAAAATCCGTCAACAATTCACAGTACGGCTGATAAAGAAATCTAAAATAAAATAATCAGCTTTACGTCTCTAATTGGGAGAGTGGGTAATACTTATTCGTCATCGTTTTGTGAGGGAAACAATGCGTAATCGTAACAAAAGTTGTACGTATTAAACATTTTTTACTTTTTTTGAAAACGACAAAAAAATTCACTAAACGGAAGTGGCTTTCTCTCAATCAAAGTGCGACTTCAGATATAGAAATAACTTTTTCCATCATCGCGTTACTCATACGTCACGTCTTCGTCAGTGAATGGGTTAGATAAGGTTAGCAAAGGGACTCACCAACACTTTTTTAAAACACCTGTACGTTTTATTTACACTTCATTCTACTTTAAAACACACAGATTGGCTTCTGGTGGCCAGCGGATTGTTCCAGGCCGTGTTTGCATTAGCATTTGCCTACTGGGCGGACGTCTATCATCCCATTAAATGGCTGGTGGGAACTCTGATGTTCCAAGCAGTCACCTGTGTAGTGGCTGTGATTCCCTCCAGTATGAACTTGTGAGTAGCTACTGAAATTTGTAAAACTTATATAATTGGGAGTACAAAGGCAGACCAGATATTAATGAATGTTTAATTGGGATCAATGTCCAAAATGTAGAATCAAAGCAACGTATCAAAGTCTTAGGTTTCCGCAGGAGGAAACATTACTTAAAAAATCGATCCATCTACCTTTACTAATTCCAAAAAAATTATTTCAGTGCCGAAGGTGTCAAGGCAAAAGATGCTCTAGTAGATGCCAATCTGTGCGCTACATCGCTGGCGCAGTTCCAGAAACTCACGCTGACCGAGGCCCAGAGCAGCACCCTCACTCTTGCGATGCTTTTCGTCCTTCAGTTGGCCCTGGGAATGGGTGGCCTGGCGTATTACACTATAGGAGTGAGCTACATCGATGACAACTCCCTGTCGCAAGATAGCCCGGCGGTGATAGCAGCTGCACTGGCTGCCCGCATCTTTGGCCAGCAAGCGGGCTCCTTTCTGGTACTTGGAGTGGGTTTGACCAACGTGGGATGGTGGCTTGGCTGGGTGATACTGGCTCCGTTCATTTTCGTCGGAGCTGTGCTCTTGGGATTGTTTCCCAAGCGTCTGCCCAAAACGGTAATCCACCAAGCTGCCCAAAGGATCATCGAGCAGTCTAACATGCGAACGTTTGGCAGCCAGTTTTCCACTTACCTGGATGACTCTGATTTCTGGCCATCGCTTAAGAGGCTTTTCAACAACCGCCTACTAATGTTCAACCTACTGAGTATTATGTGTGTGCAGAGTGCGTTGGTTAACTATGGCCTCCAGGAGGAAAGCTATCTGCAGAGCAGGTTCTTCTTGCCTTACAACGAGCAGGATGGCTTGACTGCGGAGTGGAGATCGGCCTTTGTTTCTTACTTCCTCAAGCCCCCAGTAATGGCGGTGGGAATGCTTGTAAGCGGTCTTATTATTTCGAAGGCTCAATTATCTGCCCGTAAAATCACAGGCATTAACATAGCTCTTAGTATACATCTGGTGGCCATTTTCGTGGGCCTGGTCTTTGTTCAGTGCGATGTGGGTGCTATTGCTGGTGTGGAAGGTGGCAAGTTGAAGCAGCCCTACTGCTCCAGCCAGTGCCTGTGCACCCCCACTGCCTTCATGCCTGTCTGCCCGGAAAACAGCGCCATCACTTACTTCTCGCCCTGCTACGCTGGATGTACCAAACAGACTACGATTAATAGCTTCGAGCTGTTCGAAGGATGCAGCTGCAGCGCTGATCAATCCCTGAACTCCACTGGTCAGATGAGGGCCACCGCAGGAGCCTGTAGCGCCGACAAGTGTCAGTCGGCCATCATCATTTTCCAGATCATGAGCATTTCGGTGGCCTTCCTAATGGGTGTGGGTGCCATTGGCAAAACGTTGATCACCTTAAGGGCTGTCCTGCCACAAGATAAGACCTTGGCCCTGGCCTTTGAACTGATGATCGTGGGACTCTTTGCCTATATTCCAGTTCATCTAAGCTACGATATAGTGACCCGTAAGTGCCTCAGTTTAGGGAAATTTTAATAGAATACAAACTAAATGGATTTTTTGTTTCGACTAGGTACCACCTGCGTTTACTGGGCTCCCAACTATGAACGTTGTCTGCTGCGGGAGACGCCCAAGCATGGCAATATCCTTGATATCCTAACAGCTTCTTTGATCTTGGCCAGTGTGATCTTCGACATACTCGTATACATCTTTGCCAAGGGATTGAATCTGTACAACTGCAAGGTGACGGATAATAATTACACGCCCTCGCTGTATGCCCCAATTCCGCACGAGGATGCGACTACTTCGCCCAGTGGTCCTCGTGGAGGAAGTCCTGTGACCACCACAACCACTTCCTCGCCCATGCAACGTAGGGATGCGCCACAAGAGCACCAGACGACTTCAGTATTTAGGAATCCCAGTTCTGTGACGACATCGTCGGGCGGAGCCCAGAGCATTGTGGAGCCCAGTGAAAGTGGAGTAACCTATGCCCAGGTGGTCTTCCCACCAGACAGACGCAAGCCAGATGACGGTAGCGTTAGTCCCAAACGTTTGGCTGTACCAGCAGATGTTCCATTGCACCATCTCTCCGAATCGGATGTTCGCAGTCAGTTGGGGAATTTGAGATCTTTTAATCCTCCCAAGCAGGAGGCCGACTTGGGTCGCGATACCGTAGATACCGACAATGTGGTGGTCACACAGCCTCAAGCACACATTCAACCACAGGTCCAAGCAGTGCTTCCGCTCCAACAGGTTCACCCTCAAGCTCAGGAGGATATTTCAACAGATACTATGATTCAGCAACTAAATCATCAACGGCAACCCGAAGACCCTAGGCCACAAAGCCCCGAAACGGACTTCTGAGGAGGCCACACATAAAGTATTCTAAAATGTTTTAATTACAATTCTTAGCTTAAGACCGATCCAATGTGCCAAGACAAATCAAATAAACAAACAAATAAAGTTATTCTTCATTTCATCGTAAAACCATTTAAGTGGTAGATTTTGAAAATCGGAAATCTGATTAAAGGCGATGTAAAGATGTTTCTTCCCGCATAATGCAAGATCTTTAGGTGATTAAGGAGAGAGAGTAGTATACTTTTTGGCTGAATCGAATAATTTTAGATCTGCTTTCTAAACCAAACAGAATGAACCTAATTTGAACGTATTGCACACTTTTCAGCGCATCACTATTGACTCATGTAAAAATCATATACTGTTTGTGTTTATTTGAACGAAACATCCAAAAATGCATCCAGTATACTTGTACTAAATCCATAAAATATCCAGCTATTTAACTAGTTTTTAGTTCGACTTTAACATCACTTAAGATTTCTTGAATTACATCGATGTCACAAATTTTTTTTAGTTTTTGACGTTTATCACTGATCGAAGCTTCTGTTTAGAAACCTGAAAAATACAAAATAATCTCCGCTGAAAGATTTTCGAAGACAAATAAAAATCAAAAGTGAGATTTTGGTTTTCAATATAATTTTATTTTTTCCTTTATTTTAATATAGGTTGCTTGCAGTTATTTTGTTTAGATTTATTTTAATTATTCTTGCGCTTACGAACTAATTAATAAATTAATAGTTAGCTTAAAAAGAGGCTTAAGTCGTAAAACTCATAGGAGAAAAACTAAACATGAAACGCATGAAGATGGTTCTTTGAATTGAATTGAAAATATATGAAAAACATAAAAGGGAAATACTCAACAGAATGAGTTCGGGGGATGGCATTAGTCTTGTCCGTCCGTCCGTCCGTTTGTCTGTCTAATTGGTCCTTCCATTGCTCCTTGCCTCGTAGACTGCCAGTTTTAAGCACTTTTCGATTGGAGTATTTTTTTTTGGTTTTACTTCACATTTTAGTCTTCTTTCACTTTTGATAGTCCTCACACTTTGATGTGTGGTGAGTCATTTGCTTTTCTTTTCTAAGCCACGCTAGCCTTAGACAATTTCGAGTCTCCGCAGGCTGCTTTGTGTGTGGCATTGTGTCATTGGGGCAGGATCTATTATGAGTCACCTGCCCCTTCCGAATAAGTAAGTGCTCTTGGGCATTCTACAAAACTTGGCGTCTACGAGGCAGTCAACTTCGGACTGGGGGACAACTCTGGGATAGAGCTAGTGTCCCTTTTAGGTAATCACACACTTCCATCTCTTCATGGCTGCAGCAGCAGTTCAGCTTCTTTTCAAGGTTCATATTCTGGGTCTGTCGGTCGTAGAGTGCGGGGGCGGTGGCGGGATCGGGGCCGTGTGTTGGGGTAAACGAATAAAGATTAATGTGAAGAAAATCCTATAACAGATTTCATATAAACATGGAGGAATTTTCAAACTAAGGTTAATACAAAATTATCAACTAAATAATTATAACAAAAATAGGACGAGTTCTTCTTCATCTTATAAATTTCGATATTTTCTTCTTGTTTTCTTTTTAGTTAGCTTTCATATGGTTTGCCATGGGTGTTCTTTTTCTTCTTTATCGTGACTTTAGAAGTTTGTTCTCAATTTAAAGTTCATTTTAGTTTTACACAATATTTACAGGTATTTTAGATTTTTGGGTTCTTCATTTTGCAGATAGTTTTAAAGTTTAACAAACAATTTTGATAAGCTTTCATTTTGTTTGGTTGTTGTTCTCTATCATGTTTTTGCATAGCTATACAATCTTTAAAAATATATAGCTTGAGAATATGCTAGAATTACTACAAATTTTCTACGTGTTTTGTTTTAGTTTATCGATTTGTTTAATTTGAAACATATTCATATTTTATGATGTAGTTAATATTAGTTTGTCAAAAAAGTCTTGCGGTATTTTAATATTATATAAATACCGCAAGACTTTTTTGACAACCTAATAGTTGCTGTGTTTTGTTTTCTTTTTTTTTACAGTAAGTGTAAGAATTAAAAGTAAATTATAAAAATAGCAGCTGGCCTTTCTTTTGTTTCATTAAATTGTATTTTTTGTATTTATCGATCAATGTTTGAATATGTTTGAAAATTTGAATCCTACTTTCCTGTCCTTTTTCTTCGCTCCTCTGGTTTATGCTTTTCTTTATCGTTTTTTACAATTTACATCTTATGTCTCTGACTGCACAATGCAAATTATCACATATTTTTCATATTTAATTTCCCTTCTGTCCTTCTATTTCTTCTGTATGTGTTTATCCCTGGCACTCTATTACACTTTATCGATTTGTATTTGTATTTCTGCTGCTGTTTTTTATTTTTTTTCTGTCCGTCTCTTTGTTGGCCAAAAATTCTACTTTCGTCAAGTATTATTTTGCAGCCAATTTTAGTGAGTGGTTGTGTGTTGTTCTAGATGGGGTTTGTTTATGATTTTCATGTTTTTATTGGTAGCGTTAACAATGTGGAAACAAACGGGTAAACAAAAATAAAAAGTATTAAACAAAAAAGTTGTGGCGCAGCAGCGCGATGTTAAAAAGAACACCTACATGTATACTCGCTTCGAGTTAACAGCGGACGTTAACAGCGCCAGCCGCAGTCGCTGTTAGCGTGCAGTCTATCTGTGTGTGTGTGTATGCATGTGTGTAATGTGGTATGTGTTCTATATGGATGCTTGTGTGTGTGACATGTGTGTGGTCTGTATGTGTGTTAAACAAATATCACAATCGAGAAATTAACAAAACGGCGGCTGCAGCAGCTTTAACAGCCAGCAACAACATAACAGTCCTTAACGACAGGTTAGCCTAACATGAGCTTAACATGTAGGGGTATCTGTCGATTCTTCTGCTGTTGTTGTTGTTAGTGGCCTAATACTTTTGCTGCTCTCCTCGGCCCCGTCTCATCCGGGTAAGAAAGAGACCAGGCTGAGTTTACATTACGGTTTTCATTCTTAAAAAACGTTCATTTTCCCCCACATTCCAGAGCGTGGGCGCTTAAAAAACAAACACTGTGTTCTTGGCCACAGCAGCGCTTAGGACATGGGACCATTGGTTGTGGTTACCGCTGTTGCCGCTGCTGACGTCACCTGTTGCTGCTGCTGCTGCTGCTCCACCGATACCACTACTGACTCGACTGCACTGCCACCGTTCTCGGCGCTGCCGTTGGGAATGCTCGTGGGGACCACCGCTGACGCTGGACTGGTGGCTAATCCCGTTACCGCTACCGTTCCAGCGGTCTGCTGCTGACCGCCCTGTACTGCCTGTCCCGCGGCAGTCGTTGCCGCCGGCGCCGCTTGAATGGCTGGCGTGGCCGGGGGGGCGGCAATCTGTAGCTGCATCTGCAACTGCTGCAGCGTCTCCTGCGGGATGTTCGACTTGAGAATGTTGTTCTCCAGCTCCAGCTTGTTGATCTTTTCCATCAGCTCGGAGATGCGCTCTTTTAGCACTTCCACCTCCTCGCGCACCGCTATCATGAGATGCGACTTGACCAGATCCTGAAAATACCAGAGAAAGTTGTCATAAGTAAGGTGTTAAATGCAGTCAGTGAGCTTGTAAATATATTCTTAAAGCAAATGCATAGTTAAGTCTCCCATCATATTAGAGATGATAAGTTATTACATGTTTATTGCGTAATCTGAATTGGTCATCAGAGCGAAATATAACAACGCCACTGATTTTTTAGTCATATAAGAAGTTCTAAAGGGATTTATTCTGACATTATCTGCGGTTTACAGCCTCAGCTTGGGTACACTTTTTAAAGTGCACTACTCATAAATATTTACCCTACAGATTAACAGTGGCCCACTGTTAGCTCTACTTACATCCTGTTGCCACTTGTAAAAGAGCGTCGTCTGACTCATTGCAGAGATTTAACATGGCCCACGGCTGGGTCGGGCCATTCATAAATCAAATTTTGTGCCAACGGCATGGCGAATGTTTGCCCAATGTGGCGTGTTCGCGTTACATATATATATATATATATATAGTACATATATATTTTGCTTTATTTGCTGTGTAAATGTAAATGTAAATGGTTCCCCGAAGAATCAAATGCTTTCGTGTCATTGTCAATGCCACAGCCGCAGAACACGTCATCGAGACCGAGACCAAGACCGAAACAAAACCGAATCGGCACACAACATCCATAGCCATAGCCGTGGCTCACCTGGCTGCCATGCACCTTGTGAAAATTTAATAAACCCATTAAAGAGGCAGCCAAAAGCTGAAAGTCGAATGGAAAACGCGTGCAGGCGGCGAATAGAATAATCGCACAAGCGTTTGTGTTTGTTCCCCCTTTTTTTTTGTACTCTGCATTTAACGGCACGTGTTGAGGTGATTTTTTCCCATATTTAATGTGAAATGTCAATAGACCTAATGCCCGTGGATGGCAACAATAGTAAAATGGAAAGGAAAAGGGGTGTTATTTGGTTTTTGGGTTGGAAAATGCTGACGACTGCGGCTGTTCCGTTTTCACGACAGAGTTTTCTTTCTTTCTCAACTCTCCACACTGCGATCTCTATAAATAGTCAGCGCGGATGCTTTCGTCGCCGTCGTCTTCACTTTCAACAATTTCTTTCAACATTTTCTTGTTGTTGGTGGCCTGATTTTTTCCCAACGCAATGCAAGAAATAAAAGTTGAAAGTAAAAAAAAAACTTAAAATCAGCAAAAGGATTTAAAATCTTAAAAAAAAAAATCTGGTACGTCATTTAGAAAAGGCAAAGCGAATGCTTAAAATAAATATGAAATTTATAAAAGAACTCTGAACACTTCGTACGCCTCACTCATTAGTCATACCTCAAAATTCTATATGATATAGTATAGTAGTATATATGTATCTAGAGAGCATGAGCATGAGGCATGGAAAGCCATCGGAAAGTCGCATGTTCTGGCAGCAGTGCCAAAAAAGCAATCGTAAGAAATACAAATTTGCACGTTTTTCGCCTGTTTCGAGGCAAGCTAATAAATACAATTTTATAAAAATATCAAATTGTATTTTTAGACCCTCACAAGCACAAATTCCCTCGGTTGACCGATCAATAAGTGCAAAAATTACCAAAATAAGAAGTCAACGGAATAAAGAGAAGAAAAGACGATTTGATAAAACTCGAAAAAAGAGCCACCAACTGACAAACAATAGGAACCGCTTTAAGCAAATGCAAACCGGTTGATACCGCTTCGGCTTGTTAACAACGAGGTGCAAAAAAAGCACAAAACAAACGAACACGAAAATTTGGCATAAAAGGGAGAGGTTCAAAATTGTTGATCAAAAAATAATCACAGGTGTGCCTAAATATTTGGGTTTTCTACCAACTTTTTGCAATAATTTGAAGTGAATTAGAGAAAATCTCCTGAGATAGGAGAATAGGCAATCTCCGTTTCAGGTAAGGGAAAAATAAATGCTAATTATACACACTTGGTCTGAGAAAAACACAGGGAGTGAGAGCGAGCGAGAGAGAGGAGACCTCTTGGCCTGGAGAAGCGGGTTGGGTTGCCTTCTGGGGTCAGGTCACGCGCTTCTCCAGTGTTATCTCTTCTCTTCTCAAAGTCTCCTCTGCAGTTCTCAGTTTCGATGTGTGTTTTTTTTCGGTTGCATTTCTCAAACAAACATGGCGGACGAGGTTTTTTGTCTGTTTTTTTTTTAAGTACACTTGTCGGGGATCCTTAGGTAGAAATCATAAGTCTTTGTTGTAAAGAACAAAGGATTCCCTTCCACTTCATTATTTTTCCTGTTTTTTTGTTCAAAGCAAAGGAAGTGGTGTCTCATTTTTTTGCACTTAAGTTAGAGTAATTTATCAGCGAAAATAAATTGACAAGTGACAGCACAAATAACGTTTCTTATTTCGCTTTTTTTCTCAATTTTCAGTTGCCTTTTGACGACATTGAAAAGTCGCCAGAAAATCGCCACGAAAACGCGCGCAGCCTCACGAAATACGGCGAAAAAAATCAATAGAATTGCATCTAGTCAAGGTAAACTGGGTGTTTTTTTTTTTTTTGTTTTCGTTGAGATGGGGGTTTTTGGCTAGGTATACATACTTTTGCATTGGGCACCATCACATAGCAGGGGCTGTCGTAGCCCTTCTGCCAAATCTCGTAGAGCCAATTCTCTGGCTGGCGCAGCGACATTGTGCCCATCATATTTGGCTTTGGTTTGGAGTTTTTCACGGGGTTTATTAATACGATATTTGGTTGCTTTCTTTCTACTTTTTTGGAGACTTTTTAGCTCCCACTCTCGCACTTTTATTGATAATCTTTTTTGTATCAGTTTTTGAATCACAGTTTGGTTTTGTTTAAAAATGTATTTTCTGTATTTTCACTTGGGTTTTTCTTTCTTAATTTGATTTTTCTTGCCTTTTTTGGGCTGTGTGTGTTTGTATGGCAAAAGTTCAGCAAGAACTGAATTCGCTTTTCAGCTTTTTGTGAGATTTACGAGACCGGCGCAGAGCTTTGGCGATATATACGAGCTTTTCTCGATTTAAATTACTGCTTTTAGCGATTTGCGTCTGCTTAAAACGAATTAATATAATTCACGAGTCTCTGGTTGGCTTTTGACTGATTGTATTCTTGTTATAGTTGGTTTTTGTAAAAAGTAATTGTTTTAGTTATGTATATATATTGTATTTCTTTTGTGTTTTAGTATATAAAAAACTTGTGCCAAGTGAAATTGCTAACGTTGTGGCGTGTAGAAGTTCAACTGGCGACTGAACGTCTGCGTGCAATTAGCGCGGATTTTATATGAAATGGCCGGAGAGCCTCTCATTGCGCACTCCATAAAGGGCTCTCTCGCCTGCTCGCTCTCTCACGCTCACTCTCTCTGTGCGGCTATCTTGTGTATCTGTATCTGTATCTGGTCGCCTGTAGATATATCCATCAGCATTTGCCAGATACAAAGATACTCACAGATACTCTCTGTTTGTTTTGACGCGCCACTCGTTCCTCTTGTTTTCTCATCAATTTACAAAGACTTCCACTATTTATTCGATCTACGTATATTTATATGTATTTCTTTTTGGCTCTGCTTATTTGCCAAAAATGTTTGACTGAATTTTTAAACAGCCAGCCGGTTTTTTTTATTATTGAAAAAAAAAAAAAAAACATATACATATGTTTCTTTCAGCTACTGCGACGCAAAAACTTTACGACACTTTTGTTTATCAACCGCTCTGCTCGCCAGTTCTCCAGCTCGCTCTTTTATTTGATTTTATTTCCTTTTATTTTTTTATTTTTTGGGTGGACGTTCTTGTAGATACTTTTTCGCTTGCCACGCGGTGGTTTTCGATTACTTTGGCATTTCTCTGGGAATTTGTGCCTATGTGGGGTGGGTTTTCTTACCTTTTGCGCATTGCGTTTTCCCCCTAACCGAGTTAAGTCGCCTGAAGTCAACAGTAAACAAAATTCCTCGATAAAATTTAAGACTTTACATAATTATGAAGTGGAATTGTGAGGGTAACAAAACAAATTGTCGCTTTTCTTTGGGCTTCAATGGAACGATGAGAAAATCTTAGCTAAGAAACAAATAATCCTATAAGTAAACTGAAGTTCTCATAACTCCAAGACATGGTTAGTGATTTCTATACATTTTTCAGATATAGAAAACATTCTAGTAATAGCAAAAGATAACTATATTCTATTATGAAGTTTATTATAGATTAAACATTATACAACCCCACCCTTGACACACAAACCATTTTTGGCAATGAAGAATCACTAAAAAAAAAAAAAACAATAAATTCAAGGGCTTAAAAAGTATGAGCGGGTAAGTAAACTATAGAACCCGCAGAACGAAATGTATAGAACAAAAAACAAAAAAGAGCCAAACATGAACGGAACGTATCGATTTCACGCGCATGTTGAAGGAAGCGTTTTTCTGTCAATCCATAATACATGCCATATAGATTTCGATCGATCTATATAGGAACCAACAACGACGGCGCATCAACAACAAATTGTTTAACAAAAAGCGAAACAAACATCCGCGTTAAAAATTATGAATGAAAAAAAAAAATAAAAGAAAACAATATTTTTAATAGCCGGTGAAAACAGCAATTAAATGCACATTTAAATAAACAAATGGCAGTGCTGTAAAATAATATGCAAACAAACAGTCGTAGGAAGAGAAGTTCCTTAATTGCTACCCAAACTGCGTAGATATGGAATTGAGTTGGGATTGTCATGGGTCTGGGTGGGGTCTTCGTGGGGAGTAGTAATGGGTTGGGTTTTCGAGGGTGGTGGAGGGGAATTTCGGAAGCTGAGTGAAAAGGGAAGTCTGTCAAAGAGGCTCTAATTGCCTACAGTTCCGTAGGTAGGAAATAACGTTTTTCTTTTCAAAATATTTACAAATTTTAAATCAAAAGATTTTGACAGCAAGGCGATCATAAATTCACCGTCTTTATCTAAAAAGCCTTCCTTGTATTATCTAAGAACTAACCATATAAGAATTTCTACCTGCCCTACTAACTCTATAGTTTTCTTTTAGGCTTACACAAAAGTATTGAT